ATCCGGCAACTCCACTTCTGGGTACCTACCCAAAGGAAATGAAAGCAAGGACTCTGACACACGTTCGCAACAGCAATGTTCATAACAGCCGGGAGGCGCAAGCATCCCACGTGTCCTTTGATGAACGGATAAACACAATGTGACACATACCGACAGTGGAATGCTATTCAGCCTTAAAAAGGCAGGAAATTTTTATATACGCCACAACATGGATGGACCTTGAAACCATGGTGCTAAGTGAAATAAGCCACACACAAAAGGACAAACACCGTATGATTCCACTTATGAGGCTCTGGAACAGGCAAATTCACAGAGACAGGAACAGAACAGTCGCCAGGGTCTGGGGGGAGGGGGAACGAGGACTCACTGTTTAATGGGTACAGAGTTCCAGTTAGGGATGACGAAAAGTACAGGAGATGGATGGTGGTGAAGGTTGCACAAACATGTGATTGTACTTAATGCCACTGAACTGTACACCTTTTTAAAAACGGTTAAAAAGGTAAATTTTATATTTGTTTTACAAAAAGAAAAGAAAAAAAACTTGGAAAAGAGATCAATGTGGAAATAAAGGGGCTGTGATTACAGAATCTGGCCTTGCTAAGAAAGCCACACTCATGTTCATCTCTCTCATCAAGGTGTTGGCGGGGCCACTCTCCCTCCGAAGTCTCTGGGGGAGGATCCTTCCTCGTCCCTTCCAGCCTCGGGCATCCCTTAGCTCGGGGCAGCATCACTTCCGTTTAGGCCTCTGTGGTCACATGGCTGTCTTCTCCCCATGTGTCTTCACGGTGTCTTCCCTCTGTGCTTGTCTGTGTCCAAATTTCCTTCCTCTTATGAGGACCCCAGTCATTTTTGATTTGGGGCCCACGTTATTCCAGTACGACCTCATCTTAACTAATTACATCGGCAACAAGCCTATTTCCAAATAAGGTCTCATTCTAGGGTACAGGGGCTTAAGACTTCAACACATCTTTCAGGGGATACAATTCAACCCATGACAACCCACCCAAATATAGAGTTAATCTAAGTCTCAGTCCTCACCGAACTCACCCTCTTGATGACAGCGTTTGACACAGGTTATTACGCTGACACAGGCCTTCTTTATAGGACACCCTGCCTTCCAGTCACACAGCACACCTCATTTTCCTCACCGCCCTGGCCCCGTCTCCCCTGCCCACCCTTCTACTCCACCAAGTCTCCATGTTGGAGCAGCCCTCAGACCTCGCCCCTGTCTACACTCACGCCCTGAAACCCCACCCAGTCCCACAGCTCTCAACACCAACTATCTTCTGCCAGCCCACCACACTGACAGCCCCAACCCACCCTGCAATCTCCAGACACCATATCTCACTGCCTACTCGACACATCCTCTAGCCCGCTGACTCAACATGTTCAAGAGAAACTCTTTGGTCTTCCTCCCAAACCTGCTTCTTCTCCAGGCTTCTTCAAAAGTAGCAAATGGTCTCACACCCAGAGCCTGAAAGCTCAGTCACATCCCTGGCTCTGATCTTTCCCGCATCCTCCCACGTCCAATCAGCACATCTTGCCGGCTCCACATCTTAGAAGAGACGCCCTGAACCTACCCACTTCCCGTCACCTCCACAGCCACCACCCTAGACCAGGGGTTGGCAAACTGCAGGCCCTGGGCCAAGTCTGGCCACAACCGATTGTGTCTATCTCTGCAGAACTGAGTGGCTACGACAGTGACTGTGTGACCTGAAATGCTGGCCCTCTGCAGAAAAGTTTGCTGACCCCTGGTCTAGGCATTTGATATCACCTGGGACCATCCTTTTGTGTAATCTTCTAATCAGAAATAAGACATCAGGTTGTTTTCTGTTTATTCTTTGCCTTCTCAGAAATAACTGCTTCTCTTCCTTTCTGCACCCTGACCAGAACCCTCACTCTGTGCCTATCAAGTGGCTCTGTTCCCTCCTGCCCACCATCACTGAGGCTTAACTCTTGGAACCACCACGTTCACCCTGCTCAGGTACCTGCAATGGCTCCCACTGTCCCCAGCATTTAACCTATGCATCTGTTTAGTTTGCAGAATCCTCTATAACCCAGCCTGCCCTGCCCTTCCTAGTCAATCAACGACCCACTGCTCCCCAGCCGGACAAGCCTCTCTCGGAAAGTGCTACCCACCCCACCGGGCACTGCTTTCGTACCTGTTGGGCCCTGCACCTTCAGCTGCTTCCCTACCTTCTTACTTCCAACAGCATTTGAATATGCTCAAAACTCTCATACTACAAAATCTTCCTGGACCCCAAACCTTCCCTCCAGCTGCCACCTAGCTCGTTACTCTCTCTTCTGGTTACCAGGAAGAGAGATTTTCTGAAAAGGAAAAAAAAAAAATTGTGAAGAAACTGCCTATTGCCGTCATCTTCACTTCCTCACCTCCCATTCACTCTTCAGCCACGGCTACCAGTTTCCTAGTTTTCCACTAAAACCACTCCTGCTGGGTCATAATGCTTTCATTGAGTCCAGTAAGCTGTGTCTCACCCTGACTGCACTGGTTTCTCTGCAGCAGCACTTAACAGAGCTCACTGCTACCTGAAACCTTGGTTTCTGTGATAACCACACTCTCCTTTTGCCGTGGAACTTTCTAGTTATTCCCTCTCTGTGTCCTCCACCTTTGTTTTCCCACTAAACAGTGAGCAACTTGAGGAAGGGACCCCGTCATCTGTGGCTCTCTGATGCCAAGTATACATTCTAGCATGTGGTAGACTCTCAATGTCAGCTAAAATCAACTCTGTTATTTACTGTTTCCAGCTTGAGAATTTCCAATTTATTTTTTCATGTTGTTTCCAGTTGTCTGTAAAATCCTCCATATTATCATAATTCTTTGAATGTATTGTTAAGTATTATTTAAAATGCACATCTGATCAATCTACTATCTGCATCTCCTGTGGATCTATTTGTGACTTTTCTCCTGGTCTTCCTGTATATCTGGTTATTTCCGAGTGAGTGTTGAGTATTCATATGTGAAAAATTAGAGCAAGAACATCAGGCTGTGGATGAGGGTACCTTCCTCCAGAGAGAATTTATTTTTGCTCTGACAGGCAGGTAGACTAGAGACATTGGCAATCCCAGATCTTCATTCAATCACATTGCAGTGACTCAAACCAGGACTCTAGTCCCTGTGAGAGCTGGTTAAATTCTGATCACCCCTTACTCCCAAGGGATGGCCTCAGGGTCCCAACCAAAAAGACTGGAGAGCTGACCACGTCCTTCCAGCTTGGCAGGTCCTGACTTCAATTTATGTCTCCGACCCTGTGAGTCTGGCAACAGCTCTGCTCAGATGCTCAGCCACACTTCTGTCTAAACCAACTAATCTTCCACTGCCAGAAAGAACTTCTTAACCTCTCAATGACACCAAGTAACTATCCATTGCTATCATCTTCGTTCCTCACCCACACTGCTCCTTGACCACAAGGGCAATAAGCTGGGAGTCTAGACACCCAAAAGCTACGGTCTGCATGGCCGGCAGCTAGTGCTGGGCTTCCTCTCCTAAAGTTCCCATATCCTTACATGTAAAATGCATCTGGACAAAAACTTAGAGTTTTTTCTTGTCCTAAAAGTTTCAGATCCGCTAACATCACTGCCAACTCTTACGTTAGACAACCCCGGATTGCATATTCTTCCTCCGTGGGTGCATCAATGCCCAGCCCGGTGACTCATTACAACTTTGCATTTTCATAAGAGCATTATAACAAATGGACTTAGACTAAACAGTATGAATTCAGATTTATAAAGCTGTTTCAATTATGGAATTGTGTCCATTCCTACTGCAGATCCTATTATTTGTTGCCCTGGCTACTAAATAAACCACACAAAGCTGATGAGGACCCACCTAGCACTAATGCTGAAAATCCAAGAGAAAAGCCCAACCTAAATGAAGAAAGGAATCACTGTAGGGCATCCCTGTGCCAAATGGCACACAATAAACAAACACAAAGGAAAACAGGCCTGAGTCACAGTAAGCTTAAAATGTTCCTTTTGCAAAGAAGGATGCTGCCTGTGTGGCCAGCAGCAGGTCAAAGCAGGGGAGAGTCAAACAGGCTTCAGCCTTTGGCTTTTCAGAAGCTAAGATTTCATGCCTTCTTCAGCAGATGAGAATACCAGAAGATACACAAATGTTCTACTTATTTTCACAATGGACAAAACCATTCGAAATTGAAATTAATGACAGGCTGAAACAAAGTCCTACTTTCATAAACAAAGAGAAGACCTAATACAGTCACTTCAGGACTCAGAGAATATTCTTCTCCATGAACTTGCCAACTCCAGCCTAAGTTCCTCACTGCCCAGCCTGCATGCATTCCCGGCACCCCCCGCAACAGTTCCCTGACCACGAAGTACCTGACCTGTACCTCTTCTTTATGGGTCACGGAACCTGGATACTGGTGTCCCTTGTGTAGTATCTCCCCTTCCTTGCAGTATCTGCGTCCATCAGAAAGCAAAGGAATCTAATCCAAAAACTGTGTTGCAGCCAACACCCCCAGAACGAGTCATCACTAGGCTTCTCAATGCTCCAATAACACATGGGCTAGAAGCAACTGAAATCTATGCTGGTCCTTACTTTTCCCAAGAGAACCTGTGTGTGGTGGAAAAGGCACCAGCCGAGGAGCTCTTAGTGCATCTGGCCTCTGCCACTATCTAGCTACGCTCATTCAGACATTCCAAGTATATTGAGGGCCTACTATGGGCCAGACATCCCGCTGGGCATTAACAACATAAAGGTGACTAAGACACAGGAGGTGCACTGGTATAGAGCTAAAATCCAAAGAGTATCTCAGTTTCCCCATCTGCTACATGAAGGTCCTCTACCAAGTAATCGTTGAGGTTCCTTCTGACTATAAAGTGCCACTGTTTTACGATCTGAGATGCAGCCCTGGCCGGCTATACATATCTGTGCAGACATAGACTGGCGCAGCCTCCCTGGCCTTAGCTTCCGCAGCATACTGTAAAGTAAACAAGTTAGATTTGGAGATGTCTCCCATTACCTTATGCAGCCACAGTGGCAGGTTTCCAGAAGCGCTGTGCAGGGAGTCCTTCTGCTGAACAGCTGCCCAGCAGTAAGAGTCCACAAAGGCGGCCTGGCGCCAGGAGAAAGAACTTGGGGAGAAGCAGCTTATCTGTGTACCTGAGAAGCAAAATAGATTGTTCCAAATGAGTGAAATGCAGTTGCCTGTCCTCCCCCCACACACTTTTTTATAGTGTCATGTCAGGAGCACCAGGACAGGACGCAGGGACATTAGTGAAGACAGGACTGAAAACACACACCCAAGTTCATATTAAAACTGAGTATTGGAGAGTTTTTTTGACCAACACTGGTCATGATAGTGGCTTGGGCTCAGTGTGGAAAAGTCTCTTAAAAGAAGTGAAACCACCATAAAAAGAAAAAGGGAGCAGGGAAAAGAACCAGCTCTCAAAATGTAGAAGGTGAACGTGGATAGAGCTTGTTTGGTATAGGGTAAGGATTGAGAGAAAGCGGGGTTTACATGAGGGGCAGGTAGGGACGAAGAGTCTCGATGCAGGAAGCTGGAGCAGGAAAGGAGTTCTTTTAGAACGAACAGATGAAGAGCTCTAGCCTGAGGAAGAGAAGGCTGGAGGAACACTTGGTAACAGATCACTGGATGGGAAGTTAGCAATTTTCCATCTCCTCTAAGAAAAAGGAAGAAAAGAGCCCAAACTGCAGCCCAAGCAGTTTACATTTGGGAGGCAAATGCTGAGACCACACACCTCCCGGCCGGAGATGGGAGCTGGACGGGGAACAGGGAGACCTATGTCCCTCTCGGGGCTCTGCCATCAACTCACTCTTCTGGAAGGGACTCTGGGACTTGGTTTTGTCCTCTGCAAACTGAACACTATATCACCCTGCAGATGCTACCATTCCGTCTGTAAAGCTTACTACTTGGAAGACCCTCCGTGCTCCTGACTCACACAGCCACGGTGGGAAACTGGCCAACAGGACTGTGGGGCTCAGAGCAGAAGCTGTGTTCTCTCCTCTCACCGGCAGGCAGAGGGCCCAGTCCTGCTCCCCTGTCCCCATCAGGCACATGCAGGGGGGTGTGTGTTACAGGCATGGGGCCAGCCACTGAAGCCCCACAGTAGGCACACTCTCTTCCACATCCCACACAGCGTGGGAGGGGGCCGATGCCTGGCCTCTGACATGAGTCATATTTAAACCTGACTCTGCCACTCATAGCTGGGTGACTCATGGCGGGGAAGTTACGCACATAACCTTCCAAAGCCTGGGATATCCGAAATGGGAATGATATTAATAGTGTATCTACACTGCAGATTCATCGTGGTGACTACAAAATTAAAAAAGGAAAAAGACAGTTGCTATAGCACTTACTATAATGCCTGGTTCCCAGTAGTTAGTTGCTCAGTGTTACATTTTTTCTAGAAGTAATGAGCAGATTCTGACATCACTTTAAAGACTGGGGCATGCCCACCATTCTCCCTTTTCACCCTGTGGAGAGGGGATAGGGACAGTGGGAAGATGCTTGCTGGACTTCCCTGGTCCCTGGCACATAAAAAGCCTCAAAGAGTCAGCTTCCTCTGAGGAGGGGGTGGCTTTATACCTGCGGCAGGACAGGGCAGTGATGGGGATGTTTTCAGGTGAGCAGATTCTCGTGGTGGGGGGTGTGGTATGTGCCAAGGCCCCGAGTACTCCATCTTCCTCAGCAGGTGCCTTTATACCCACAGACATCAAGAAGGGACTTTTCAGCAAGAGCCCTGGAAGGGGACTGTGGTGAAAAGTCACAAACGTCGGAAAGTATTTTGTAACAGGGCAGTTCTTGCCATCCAGCAATGGTCTAAATAGGGGTTGGGGGATGTCTACAGCCATACCACCCTGAACGCGCCGGATCTCGTCTGATAATATGAGTTGGGGATGGGTAAGATATTTCAAGGTCCCTTCTGACTCTTAGCCCATTAAACTTGAGTTCTTATATTTTATAAAAAGAAAAATAGAGTAGTCAGGATGGCACAGGGCTCAGGGCTAAGCTCGCGCTGGTCCTGCACCAGTGTGACTGCCAGACACCTCCTGTGCCACCCACCCACGGAGGCCTGTGAGGGCTACAGCAGTCACACAGAGACAGGCAGACCTGGGGTCATAAACGGATGGTTTCTGGTAAGGTTGTCGGTGAGTTGTCTGCTTGGGAACATCTGTTCAAATACTCATAGAAATGAACAACACCATTATGATTTCGTGACATTCTTTCTATAAGAAATGGTGCTTCAAGTTCTATCTCCAGATCTCAAGGACCTCCCCTAAGCAGTAGTAGAGGAAGAAGGAGAATGGGGTGGGGAGAGAGGGAGAGATACTCAAGACATGTGGAACTCATAAGGAAATGCTCTTCATCTGGAATGGAAGGTCAGAAGAAAAGGCAGTGGGCAATTAATATTCACCAGACACCAACCAGCCCTGTAAGTCAGTACCTTATTTAAGCCTCACAACCAAATGGAAAGAGAGAGAGATCTGATCTTCCTTTTACCCTGGAGGAAACCAAAGCTCACAGCAGTTCATTCAGTAATCTCCTACCCAAGCTAGGAAATGGTAGCCTCGTAATTTCAATCTGTATCCAACTCCCAGTCTCTTTCAGCATTTCTCTCTGGGCCAGTCACTCCACAAGGCTTTGTTGGGGGTGGGGGGGGGGCTCTGAGCAGGTGGCTCCTCCAGGTGGCCGGGAAGGGGAGAGCTACCTGGAAAGAGTCAAGGACAAATCTGGGAAAAGAAATGGATAAGCCCCAGGTACTGGGTATTCCCAGGCCAGAAATGGGAAACAAAGTCAAGGAAGTCAAGGGCCCGGAAGGGAGTGAAGAAAGGGGTGAAGCAGGAGGGTACGGGGCCCTAGCACAGCAGGGTGCTGTGAGCCACATGCCTCCTCTAGGCTGTGACCGCCAAGCCTGACTGGGTTGCTGGCTGCTGCTGTGAGGTGGGGAAGCCTGGGACCCAGACCGTCTGGACTCATTTCTCCAAACGTACTTCCTCTCCCTTTGTCTCATTTACTCTTCAAAATAATACTGGGAGATAAAGAGATGAGGTCTTCACATACTTTCCTAGTAGTCTCCCAGCTAGGAGGGCTTCCGGTCTCTCCCTTCTCCATCAGTTCAAACCACTGCCACGTTATTCATTCTAAAGCTCGGTTCTGATCTTGACACTACCTTGGCTCAACATTTCTCATTGGTCTCCCCTGCCCAGGGTTCAAATCCACATGGATGCTCCAACGCCACTCAGTGACTGCTGCGGCTCCCACAGGCCTGATGCGCTCTCAGCCCTGCTCCTTTCCTTGCACTTGGCCTCTGCCTGAGGGCCCTCCCTCCAACACCTGCAAGTCAGAGCCCCTCCACACCTTCGCCTCAGTGCCTCATCTTTCCAAGCCTGGCTCCATATCACCCTCTTCAAGAAGCCTCGCATTTTAAAGACATCAGAGATGTGCAGAAAATTACCTTTAACCATGTGGTATGGACAGAACACCCACATGTCTCATCTCCTCTACTGCTATCTCAAGTCTTTGTGGGCAGAACACATCTGTCTCTCTGAACTTCACGCACCACTCTGTACCAAATAAATAACATCTGTCTGGTGCTTTGAAAGTTTTAAAGTACTATTATAAATACCATCTCAATTAATGCTCAAGTATCCCTGTAAGATATCACTGCACAATGTGATAGTTGAGAAAAGAGAGCCCCATGAGACCCTCCAGCCAGAGTCCACACTCTGCACCACTGTGTGTCAGCTTAAATGAGTGCACAATAATTTCTAGGAAATGGCTTTAGTGAGATACACGTTGCCATTTACAACTGTACAGAAAGCAAGAAATGAGTGCCAGGAGCAACGAGGAACACTACTCCCAGCTGGCCGAGAGTACAGAGGCAGCTGTGGGCATTACATTAATGTGTCTGGCCAAATATAACGAACGATCACGAGGAGGAAACGTGTGCTCACAGGGCCATGTGGAAGTAGCCAAAACATCTGCTAAATAAGCAATCTGCACCACAGGCATTCCTGGTCCCTTGGCCTGGAGCCGAGAGTGTAGGTCACACCTTCTCCCTGAGCGGCAGCCCATGTGGCCCCTAGCGCAGCCTAGATCTGATCCACACAGCCTAAAGAGAAATAGGATGCAGGCTGGGAAGAGCAGGCTTGCCAGCCAGAGGTTTCTCAATGACACCAACACGAGCAGGGTGACAACTTCCATGTTTGTCCCATTGAAGCAGGAGGGCCTTTGGCTTACTTTTGCTATTGTCCTCCTTTCTCTCTCTCTCTCTCTCTCTCTCTCTCTCTCTTTTTTTTTTTTTTTCTGTTCTTCTCTCTTTTAATAGGCTTTCTTTTGTTCTTATGCATTACTAACGCCCTGGCTGTTAGGAGGGCCTTCACCTAAAGAGCTGCGAGGTCTGAGCAGCCCCTGGCCACCTTCGGACAAACACAACCACCCTCCTCCGAGGAGGGTGCGTGGAAGGAGCTTGCTGCCTGGCTGCCACGTGTAAGTGCTGTGAGCAGCACAGGAATCAGGCCTCCTGATCAGTTAACGAAACTCCTCAGAACCACAAGTTTAACAAACACACGAACAGAAAAATCTAGTCAACTAGCTGGGAGGACAGAGGAACTTCTCAATGGAAGAGATTCTAAGCTGAAGTCACTGGCGCATTGAAGAGACTGAAGAGGGGCAGAAGGCAGGAGGGAACTAGTACCTGCTGTGTACTTTTACCCCATGCACTGAGATCTTGTGGCTAGTGGGCTGCAGAGCTGGGATATCAACTCAGGCCTCCATCTTTACCCTCCAAACACAAGAAAAAGGAGGCAAAAGGCACAGGTTTATTGAAAAACACTGGGTCAGAGATGGTAGGATGAGCAGGGATGAGACAGGAGAATTTCTTTGAGAGGAACAGTAAATACAGGGGTTGCTATTCTGGAAGGGACAAAGAAAGGAAAAACAATGTAATAATGATTATATCAATGACAATCACTAGCATCTACATACCATTTTAAAAGTTTGCATAATGTTTCCATTCAGAAAAAAAATCAGTTCCAGTTCACTTTCACGTAAATTATATAGACATTCACACATACCGGATTCAGGCTGATCATAATACAACCTATAAAGCACTGAACTTGAAAGTTCTGACTGTTTT